TGAGACCACCCTCTTCCTCACGTGTAAGTAGCCAAGCGACTGTACCCTGTGTGTTTTACAGACCGCCAGCCCTGTTTGGAGGGAGCCTTCTTGATGAATCCCACCCTTAGGCTTGCTGGGAGAGGTCAGCCTTATCTCTAAATCAGTAGCTGTTTTGGGAAGAGATTTAGCTGTAAGCAAACTTTAAAATCTGTTCTTCTGAGCAGCACTGTTACTGTAAACATGCCTCAGTCCTAAATTTGTGTCTGTTTTTCCTCCCCCTTCCCCCCCAGCTCTTCTTGGGTAGAGATGTGTGTATCTGCAGTGTCTGGGTATTTTACTGGTTTGTTTGAACACTGCAGCGCTGCGGGTAGTGAACAGGTTGGTCAAGAAATGGTTGGTTTTCCTTACCCTGTCCTATTTGAGCTGGTCTCCCTGATCAGAATTCACGTTTTCTGTCCTTTCTCCTCAGCTTCCCAGCCGCTTTCTTCCTTTTGTTGTAGCTCACCTTTATTTATGGGCTTGTCTTCAGTGCTTTACTTCTCCTTGGAGTCCTGTCAATAGAAAACAAAACCGCTCAAGTTGAAGCACTTAGCTCTGGAGTCATTGCAGCAAGGACAATGCTTCTTAGGACTTGTGGCCTTAACCAGATAATATTTTGGGTGGCATCAGGGTGCAGCCAGACACGATTAAAAGGGTGAGGACTGTCCTAGACTGATGATTGCACTGACCGTGATCTGGGGCTGTTCCGTGCGATTGTGGTGACTGTGTCCCTTCTCCCGTTTCAAAGGGCCGGACGGGCACGTGACGCGGTATGGGCTGGAGTGGCTGGTGAAGAACAGCTACGAGGGGCAGAAGCAGCAGGTCATGCACCCGCGGATTCTCTGGAATGCAGAAATTTACCGCCAAGCCCAGGTCCCATCCGTCGACTGCCGGAGTTTCCTGGAGACGGATGAGGGCCTGAAGGAGTTCCTGCAAAACTTCTTGTTATATGGGATTGCTTTCGTAGAGAATGTCACTCCCACCAAAGAGGACACAGAAATCTTAGCGGAAAGGATCAGCTTAATCAGGTAAGTGGGGCTGCCCTGGGAAGGGTAGACTGTTTTCCTTTTGTTTGGAAAGGTGCTGCCCTCTTACCCCTGTATGTTGTGCACTGTGGCCTGGTTTGCAAACAAAAGGTCTGGGTCTTCTACAGCCTCTGGCCAGCCCACTTGAGCTGAGATGGAGTATGGCCCTGTGGGATCTGCCCTCTTCTTAGGGGAGAGCCTGGAGTCGCTAGGTTATAGAGCTGCCTCGGGAGTGTGTGAGGACTTTAGTGACAGCAGGACTGCACAGAGGAGGGACTGAAGGATGTAGCCTGTCTGGGAAGACTTGAGCTTTGCAAGGAGAGACATTTCCTGTTATGACTTGAAAGGTTAGGAGGGCAGCCCTGGCCCTGGGAGCCAGGGAGATCAAAAACAATTTGTAGCTCTTGCTAAATGAAAATATTGAGAAATGTTTCTTCTGTGTTTGTTTAAAACACACCAACAGCATGGCAAGACGGGGTTTGAGTTTCAAGTTTTATCCAAGCTGCAGAAACAGTTTAACTTGCCTTGGGCCATTGGAAGAGGAGGGATTTCTTTTAATGAATAGTGACCCTACGTAGAAATGAGGGGCTCCAAGGAATAACCAGCCAAGTTCTTTTTCCCCTCACCCTGTAGCCCCTGAGCACTGTTTGTCCTTACCTTCTGTCTGTCCCCTTCCATGTGGGTTGTAGGGGGGAGGTGGGAAATGCAGGATCCTAAGAGCAAGAAATGGGATTATTAGGCAGCCCTGTGGCGGGTACAAGCAAGGGCTAGCTGCGCTCTGGCAACTCCTCATGTCGCTCAGTGGCTTCCTTGATTTGACTGGGACTGATGTTTGGTGTGGAAAGAAGATCCGTGTTTGTGGAAGGGAAGCAGACTCATGGCCATCAGCCTCCTTGAGGAGGAAAGGGACAGACATTGAATACTAGAGGAAGCATTGGAAGCACCATCTCTTGACAGCGTGAATTTTGTTAAGTTATTCTGCTTTAATTTACTCTGTACATAGGATGAAGGGGAGTAGCCTCAAATGCAGGACAGGGTCAGCTTTACCCACCGCAGTGATCCCCGCGGTGCTTTGTGATAACCGCCCGCCTCTTTTGCAGGGAGACCATTTACGGTAGGATGTGGTACTTTACCTCCGACTTCTCTCGGGGAGACACTGCCTACACCAAGCTGGCTCTGGATCGTCACACCGACACGACCTACTTCCAGGAGCCCTGCGGGTACGTGATCTTGCTGGTTCACAGACACAGTGCAGAAGGCAGGAGCGATTCGCAGTGGTGCCGTTTCTAGCAGCATGGGCTTCGCTGTCTCCCATGCTGCTGATGGGATGTACTTCTGCCAGTCGCACAGCAATTCTGGGTCCTCTCTGATCCCTGTGGAGCAGGGTAGTCTGTAGATCATCTTTCTTTCTATGTTTGAAACTTCTAGGTCTTCCAGAATGCAGGGGATGAAGGACTTGGCTGTTAGATAGCTGGCTTGGTATCGTTGTGGTTCAAGTAGCTTTGTAGCCACAAAGGTGGCTCAGCGCTGTAGTCATTTCTGTGCTACCCCGAAGCTCCTCTGGCAGTCTGTTCTGAAATCACCCTCCTCAGGCTCTGAAGTGACTGACACAGCATTCAGCCTCACAGAAAGAAGCAGTTCATTTGTCTTTTGGGTACCTCTGGCAAGGCTCAGCTCCTCCTGCAGCAAGTGCCCCATACCAGCTGTTGTCCAAAGGTGCTGCAAAAGGTTGCTTTGACTGAATCCTGCTGACCTGGGGCAAACCCTCCTCACCCCCATCAGCACCGTCGGTTTGGCTGGCTGAGCTGGGTTAGCGGTAGCCTGCGAGGAAGGAGGGAGAGCAGCTCACCTTGGCACAGCCTGCAGCAGCAGTCTCTGCCCTCCCGAGCTGCGAGCGGCAGCGATGTACGTGCCGTGCTCACGTATGCTTTGTGCAGTCGCTCTGCTTCAGTTCAGACAGGTTGGGGTTTGCGTTCTGGCAGTGGTGCAGCCCTGTAGGTAGGCAGAAACTGGGCTTCCCCAGCCCTTCGAAGTTCACCCGTGTCTGTGCTTTCAAAAGCAGTTTGTAGCTACAGCGCTGTTCCTCAAATGCTAGTTTGCAAACTGCTTTTCTGATATAGCCTCTGGGCTGTGAGTTTTACGCACAGCTGGAGAAGGAAAGGCAGCAGCCCTGATCGTGGTTCACAGTGAAGTGCAAGAGACTTAGGCTTAATTTCTAGCTTAATTTTTTTTGTCTGCTTTCATTTCAATCAAGAGAGGAATCATGGGGAAATGGCCTGGGGGAGAGCTGATGGAAGTACTGTGATCTGCTATGGTACTGGGGCTACAAAGAGAAGTCATCCAGTCCACGCCTCCTGCCCTGGGGCAGGATTAGCTCTTCCCAAGTGAGGCTGTTAACTTGTTAAACATCTTAATGGGAAAGGGCTGTGGTGCAGAGCTGTAAAAGCAGGGGAGGACAAAGGGGCCAGACCTGCTGGCTGCATGTGGATTGGGGAGCAGCCCTTCAGACCAGTAGCGTTCATTCTGAAGCAGCTCGGTGTCAGGAGCAAGGTAAGTGGGTTTTAGTGTGCTCTGCGGAGCTGGAACTGTATGCACAAAGGTACTGCCACATGCCTCAAGCCAGATCTAGGTGGATTCCCTGTTTTCAGTGAACTGACTGCAGAACCCGTGTGCTTTCCTGACCTGCACGGGGTTACATGCTTGGCTGACTGGTTTTAGGAGCCTGCCAAATCTTCCCCAAAATCAAATTAAAAAAAAAAATAATTAGTAATCAGAACTTCAGCTTATAAAAGACCTTTGATTGAACTGCTTGGTGCCAGAACCATAGAGCTCATTACCTACTTTTATACCTTTCTTTTCCACTTGGAAGGGTTCCCTTCAGGTAGGTGTAGTCTCATCTGCAGTCAACTGAATTATATCAAGCAATGACAGCATGGGCTGAATTGGTAGGGCTAACCATTAATGCTTGCAGTTTTGCAAAACCATAGTTGTGCAGGAAGAACATGAATTTCTGGCTTTCCTGAGCCCCCACCTCTGCCAGACATCCCTTCTTCCCAGCCTGTTTCAGACTTGCTTTCGAAACGCTTGAAACAATCTTTGACCTGCTTCTAAATGAAATGAGGGGTTTTTCAAGAAAGATGTGTTCATTTCAATGTCTGCTTTCCCCCACTGCTTTGGCTGAAATCGGCCAAATCTGACAAATCCGAAGTTACATTACTGCAAAGGGTAGAGGATAGAAACTCCCCAAGCTATGGGAAAGACTGCAATGTTCTCTCACCGGCTGGGTACCAAAGAGCCTGCCCTCAGAAAAGGCTTCCTAGGCACCCTGAGCTCCAGGAGGAGATTGTTACCTTTGAGGCACAGTGTCCTTTGCTCCCATGCTTGTGGGCTGACTTTGTAATATTATCCTGAAACTGTTGTGGGGATAAGAGCGGGTGGAGCCGAGAGGGTCCTGCCACCATTGCTTGCTGTGGGACTGGGTTAAGAGAGATCAGAGGGTAAAGGCTTTCCCAGAAGCTCGCAATTAATCTTCTGACAAGTGAAGTTGGTACACTGCAAAAATTGGGAGTAGGTGGCTCGAGGCAGCTCCTGGGTATTTGTTCCTAATGGCACGAGGCCTGCCTTGCTTGGATGCAGGGAAAGAGAAGCTTCAGAGAAGTAATAGGACAAAAGCTGGGTTGGATGGCTTCCCACTAGGGAGGGGACATCCCTGGAGGCAGACTCCTCACTGGAGACTCCTCCGCTCCAGGCTTTCCAAAGGGTCTTTAATGTGCGGCCGTGAAGGGTCTCCTGACCGCCTGGGGAGACATGATGTACTGCCTCTGAGCGAGAGTCACCCTGGGCTCCCCTCCTAGTTCCTGGAGAACTCAGCAGGACAACCAGCTTTTCTTTAACTGTCCTCTTGTTCCAAGATGTTCTAGGGAAGTTAGTTTTGTGCTTTTGAAGCTCTGCATCCTACTGCCTGGGTGGACTTTGGGTGACGCGGGCCTGATCTTACACCTCTTGAAGTCTCCCAGACTCACAGCACTTCATGTGGGAGGTGGTGTAGGCAGCTAGCACTGTTCTTGGAAAGTGAAATGTGTGAGGATGGGCCTGAAGAAACAGCAAGTACAGCCATTTCTTGCTGGTCTGTCTCCATTCCGTGGCAGGTCTTAGAGAAATAAAGTGTGTTGCAAGTACGTCTGTCGCAACCATCAGAGAAAGGTTGTGCATCCATCTGCGTCTGTCTGGGTCCGTGGGGAGCACCTTCTCCTCACAGGACAGGCAGCCAAGGTCTTCTGTGCTCTGGATTCTCTCGCCCATGCAGCATCCAGGTGTTTCATTGCCTGAAGCACGAGGGCACGGGCGGGCGGACGCTGCTGGTGGATGGTTTCTACGCGGCAGAGCAGGTTCTCCGGCAAGCCCCCGATCAATTCGAGCTGCTCAGCAAGGTGCCGCTGAAGCACGAGTATGTTGAGAACGTGGGAGACTGTCACAACCACATGATTGGAGTTGGGCCGGTTCTCAATGTCTATCCCTGGAACAACGAGCTTTATCTGATCAGGTAATATCAACGTGAGGCCTCTTGCTTATGGGGAGGAGGGGGGATTGTGGCGGATGGTAGTGGTTTTCCAGAAGATATCGTAAACTCAAAACCAATGTATGTTTATGGGGCAGGGGTGAAACCACAGAAACATAGTACGTTTCCTCCTGGGCTGTGCATTGCTGCTTCAAAGGAAGTGTCAGAACCACCGATAGAAAGATGCGTGTCAGTGCTGAGCTTTGATTTGTCACTCCTGTCATCCTTCCTTCAGCTGCCTGCCCTCATCTCGCCTCATGTGAGAGGCAGTACAATTCGGCTGTTCTTTGAAAAAGCCTCTGGAAACTAGCCTGGTGCACAGGGAATGGGGAGAGCGGAGACTGGCCCTCTTCAGAGGAAATTCGGGCTGCTTTCTGAAACTCCGGCTTGGCTTAGTGCAGGAGGCTGTCCAGCACTGCTCTGCACTTTTATTCTGAACAGCTCGGTCTTGCCTCTCGCCGTGGCGCATCCTTCCATGAAAACACAGCGAGAGCAGTTTTACACTTGCCAGTAAACTCCTCCTTGGTCCCAGTGTTGTGTATTCTCCTGAAAGTCCCGCACTCGCAGCGTAACCTCCCTAGTCGTCTGCATAGCCTCCCTTAAATACTGACTGATCCTACGAGCTCCTGAGGTTCCCTTTGGAAATACCCGGCTGTGCTCCTGGAGCCACGTGGGCGGTCTCTTATCTCCTCTTTACTTCTAGGTACAATAACTACGATCGTGCTGTCATCAACACTGTGCCTTACGATGTCGTGCATCGCTGGTACGCTGCTCACCGCACACTCACCACAGAGCTCAGGAGACCGGAAAACGAACTGTGGGTCAAACTGAAGCCGGGCAAGGTAGGACATGCAGCTGGGAGGCTCCTGCGTGTTTGGTGGAGGGAGGGCGGCAGGGCGCTCCTTCGGACGCGCAGGCTTGTTAGGACTGAGGTGAATGCTTCAGGCAAGCTCCGTATGCTGCAGTTTTCCTCTTTACAGCTGGTTTAAGGTGCCCTGTGTTGCACTACTGGCATCTGGGGGGTGTGTTCCTACTGTCCTAAAAGACTAGGGGCTTCCAGATAAGGCAGAAATGTTTAATTCAACCCCTGCCTCAGAGGATGTTTGTCCCAGCTGGGGGAGAAGAGGAAGATCTTTCCAGTCACTGAGATGAGGACCCTCAGAAGCAGAGAGGCTGGGAGCACTTAATGTTCAGCCTCTAACTTCTTCTAGAAGAAAATATAAAGGTGTGGGAAACCAAATTTACTTCTGAGGTTATATTTGAACCCTTACATTGCTAGTGGATCGCAAGAGACCTGGGCTATCCTCACTGTCCCAGAAGTGGCTAGTACGCCTTGGTACCGACAGGAAAAAGCTCTGCCCTGTACCTGGAAGGTTGATGCTGGGTGCAGCTTTGGAGGAGCTTAAAGAGCCAGAGCCACGGTTGTAGACTTGAAGGTGTTACGGTGCATGGCTGCTTCAGCTGCGCCTGCTTGAAGGGATTCTAGTCCTGTAAAGTCTAGATTCAGGCTGAGCCCAGGGCCCCAAAAATTAAGCAGCCCAGCAGGGAAGATGATCATATCGGAGCCCCTACAGCTCTCTGTTCCCAAGGACGCCTGGGGGGGAGTGGCACACACAGGCTGAAGATGGCCGGTTTCTGGTACTGGTGAACTATTGCACAACCTTTCCAACAGAAAAGCCAAGAAACAGCCCAGGACGTATTTCTGGGCTTTGCTGGCTGTCATGTTTTAACTTGTATTAGCAGCAGAACAAAACGCTGGCTTCAGGTAAACCAGCTGTGCCGATCAAATGAAACATCTGGCTATAGTCTGATGTGGTGAACAGGAAACAGGACAGGTCATGCCTGCTACGGCAAACCCTTACTTGCCCTTCCAGTCCCAGGGACCTCCAGCCCTGGCCACGGTGGTTTCCCTTCTTCTGATGGTCCTTTCTCTTCACCTGCAGGCACTGTTCATAGATAACTGGCGCGTCCTGCACGGACGGGAAGCGTTCACAGGGTACCGCCAGCTCTGTGGCTGCTACCTGACGAGAGATGATGTGCTGAACACCGCGCGCTTACTGGGACTCCAAGCGTAGCCCAGACCACCCTCCATGGAGAGGCAGTTGGACCTCCAGCACCACCGTGCTGGTGCATCACCATGACCGAGATGTTGCACATACCTCAGACACCTCCACCCTCTCCGAGCAGTTCTCGGTGCCCGCTCAGGAGAGGGAAAGCCAAAGGTTATGGGAGCTTTATGGGATCGAATTCTGCCTCTGAGCATGGTCGGCTCTTGCTGTCTGTGTACCCAGCCTGGTCTTTCCAGTCAGTCTGTCCTCCTCAGCTCTGCTGACACCACGGGAAGTGCTCCCAGCACCTATTGATGTGTAGTGCTCCTCCGATCAAGTGCCTTCAGGATTTGAAATATTTGCAGTTTTCCCTGTTGTTCAGCCTCTTTGTCAGCTGGCAGTCCTAGTTTGTTGGGGTTTTTTTGGCAGAGCAGAATGGAAATCTTTGGGGTCTTGTCTCACTCCAGGCTGGACTTTACCCCTTCTAGAGAAAACAAAAACCTACTGTCCCTATTTGATGAAAACTCCACTACTCAAACTGAGGGCTGTTGGCACGTTTCAGGGACTTCTTTCTTCTTAAACCCACTGCGTACCCCTGTAACAGGCACTGGTACAAGCCGTGCCGCTTGAGAGGTGGCCGGAAAAGAGAACCTGGTATAGTTAGGGTATTTCTGGAAAAGTTTAGGCTAGAAGGAAAGGGGGAAGTAGCAAGATCTGCATGTTGGGAAGGAGAGATGACTGGGTTAGATGAGAGATGTATTTCTCCATTTCCTTGGCTTCCAGTAATGTAACGCTTCTGTTCTTTCTGCCTCTTGCGCTGTGCTTGTAGCAAGGGCGACGGCTCAGCAGCTACAGTATTTGCTGGCAAATTTCCCACTGTGCCTGCCCTTTCCTTTTTTCCAACGAAGGAATTTGTGTTCGTTTGTCACCACACGGGCTGCTGGATGAGGCTGACCGTTTGTTCGGGGTTTTTCCCAGATTCCCCCGCATACGGAGGTAGCAAACGCGGGGTTGCCTCTCGGCTCCTGTTACCTGGGAGGATGGCACACTGAGGGCGCAGTGTAAGGAACAAAAGCAAATCCAATCATTATTAGAAACGTTGGTATTTTAGAAGCAGAAGGGGATTTTAGGATTGGTTTATCTTTCATTCTCTTGTATCTTTGGGGGTGTTCACTCCTCCGATTGGACCTTAAAACAGGGCTGGTCCCTTTTACTCCTGGCTTTCCTGTGCAAGCAAGGTGCTTTTGTGCCCAAGGTACAAGTGCAACACAGATGCATATGTGCTAAACTTGCTGCCCTCATTTAATCTAAATACTGACAGTACAGATCCTAGCGTTGAGACACTCTTGAAAGCTTCTCCTCACGCGGACTGAGCTGCCTGATGCTGTCTCTCGCAGTATTTCCCGCCTGCGGTGAGCCACCGCTCCAGTCCTCAGGGGTTGAGAGGGGTTTCCGAGCGAAGGCTTGGCAGGAAGCTGTTGATCAGAGGATACGTGAGGAAGTGAAATGCGAGCGATGGTGGCAGGCAACACAAGCTTGAAGTAGCTGGCTTCTGTCAGGTACGTCTCCCAGGCCTGTGAACAGCAGCTGCGGACACGGGCAGGAACTTGAATTTTCCTCTAGGCTGAGCCTGTGAATTCCTTGAGCAGCCTGCAGCGCGTGTTCTGTTACTCTATCAGGCTTTTTGTTTACAGATTTTCCTTAGGTGCCAATTACACCAGCACAACTTAGATGTGAGGTTTTACAAATCTACATTAATCATGTTGAAGTAGCAAAGCACAGGGGTTACGTCCGCCGTCGCTCACGCACCTCAGTGCCCTGGGGCTGGTTTCACCCTGGGCTCCGGGCAAAGCCGTGGCCTGGAGCGTGGGGGAAGAGGAGAGGTGGTAACGAAAACCAGTCTCTGTGTTAGTTGACAAAGGAGCCTGATCGGTATTTGAAACCCGTGAGCACTGAAGCCCTCGTTCATATTATTTGAGGGTATCAAGGGTTCCTGAGCTCTTTGTGCCCCCCTGTCCCCCCAGGATATGAGGGAGAGTCCTTGGGTAATGTGGAAACCTTCCCTTGGTCAATGAGATTGGCTTTACCTTCCCCTCCTCGGGGGACCTCCGTCTATCGGCTGCAAGCTGAAAATCTGCCGCTACCCTGTGCTGGAGCATGCAGGACTACGGCTGAGCCCAAGGGAGAACTGGCCGAAGTGTATTGATAACATTGTCGTGACAGAGGTGCCTTTTTGACATGGAACGTGGCGACTGTGGCTCTGCCTCCGCAGCTGCTGCCCGGGGCTGTGGTCTGCAGACACTAAGCTCTTCTGAGCCAACTCCAAGCCACCACACTCCTCAAGGTGACTGTGTAATCTGTTTTGGGGAGAATTCTTCACAGTGAATGTAGAAGCAGCACACTTCCTCATAGGTGTTACTCAAACTAAATATTCAATAAAATGGGGAGCGGAGAGAGCTTTGTTTAGATGTTGTGTTTCACCTCTCCCCACTTCCCAAGAGGGCTAAATTCTTCCTAAGCAGCTTGTGAGCATCAACCCTTTAGCTGAAGGAACAGGACTGCTTGGCGTTGTTTGTGCTGTGTTACAGAGCGCGTTCTGTTTGCTGTAATGATACCGGAGCAGTTTCTGTAATCGAGCTTTTTCACTTCTTTCAGCCAATAAATGATGAACTGCTTCTTTCTCCTTCCCACTACCCTAGTGATCCAATGTGTGTGTTTAAGACATTTTCCAAAAGGAAGAAATCAAGTTTTCACATAAGTGATTTATAAAGTGGGTCAGCTTGGCAAAATGTGTATTTCAAGCAATGGCGAACTTGAAAATAAGTCTTTATGAACCTCAAAGGTGGAATAAACATGAGGAGCAGTAAATCAATGCATGTCCCTTGACTTCTCATTGTTCGTTCTACCACTGGCCACACGATGGCAGAAGATGCAAGAAATGAAGATTGAAAAGTCAAGGAGGAGTCCCATCCCTTTGTGGGTTAGGGCTGGCAGCGATGCTGGTTCTCTTTCTTGCTGTCCCTCTCCTTTGAGACCCCCCGCCCTGCCGTTCCTGGTTACGAAGGGCTGTGAGAGCCGCAGGATGTGATGGCTGTCGTGGCGAGGGGACTGGGGTGATGTGGGGGGACGCACGGAAGCTGAGCGTGCAGTGGGGTGATCTGGGGGCATGTGCAGAAAAATTGGTGTGAGGCAGGAAGGAAGCGGAGCTGAGCACGGAGAGGAGAGATGCGGCGAGGGCAGCGTGTGCCCTGGCGCCCTTGGTTCCCGTCTGTGCCCGCAGTTGGGTCCCTTCTGCTGCTGGGGCCATCCCTCCCTCACCTTGTGCACCCTGAGCAGATCCCCCCACCCCATCTGTGCCTCCAGTTCCCTCCCCTTGCCCTCCCCGCTCCGGACTGCCCCGTTTGCCCTCCGGTGCCCCGCCATGTCCCCCTGGTTGGTGTCTTGTCTCCCCAGGACCCCCTTTCGTCCCCATGGGACCCTTCCTCTTGGGTGTGCAGCGCAGCCCATCGTTCAGCTTTTGGTGCTCCCCAGAGCCCCCCCATTTACCTGCTGGTTGCATCAGGACCCCCCAGTTTTCCCCCAGTATGCCCCAGAGCCCCCTGCTCGCCCATGGGTCTCGGGATGGCTGTTTCATCTTTTGGAGCGTCCCCCTTTGTCCCCCTCCGGTGCAGCCAGGAGCCTTTCACTCCTCACAGGAGGCGACAAAGAACGGGAAAGAATGTACGTATCGTTCTTGAAACAGTTCGATCCGTGCTGCCCTCAGTTATAATCTATGTGTAGTGATTAAAAGCCTTTTATATAAAGAAATATGGTTTAATTTTACACTTGCTATACTAAAATTATTCTTAAATTATTCTTTCAGCTGAGCTAAAAAGTATTTTTTACATTTTTAGTTTTACTCTTCATTTCTTTCCTTTTTGGCTCCTGGAAAACATAGAAGCTATTTTAATAGGGTCCTTCAGCTAAGTGAACTGAAACTGTATTACCTAAAGTTAATAATTAACTTAATTAAGCCCCTTAGTTCAAACCTGAACTGTCAGATCGAGGAGACACAGTTCTGCTATGGAAATGAGGCGATACGAATTTACAGAAAAACAAAGCAGAAGCAAATTAACACGTGGCAAGTGTCACAGTTTTGAGGAAAGGCAGATGGTGCAAGTGAATTCCCCTGCGAGTAACCTCAGCGGCGCGCAGGAAGGCTGGCAGGTAACGTGCAGACCGCACAGCTAAACCGCACACTCACAAACGCCCCTGGAAACCCTTCCTTACGCCCCCCCACTCTTCTTAAATTCTGAAATAATCCGCAGCAACGCAGACATCTCTATTTCGAGTTGACAGGGACCTGCGACCGCTCGCTCTCCCACACGCCAAACAATTGGTATCTGGTAATTTTACCCAGCGTCTCTGGTTTTGCCTTTTTCTGTTTGACCTTCATTAGCCAGAGAAATGACGTGTTCGTTGACGGATGTTGCTACGCTGCTAATGGGAAGTACCCACTTCCAGTTCGTTACTGTTCATTAACTCTATTGCGGCCTTGGGAATGTAACGGGCACAAATATAGTAGATGAGGGAGGGGAGCAAATTATCACCTAGTCCCCCTGTAATAACTTCAATAGGTTTAATGAAGTAAAGGGAAAACCTTACAAACTCATGGGAGCCTGGTGACGATAGCACCGGACCAGGATTTTCCAACTGATTAATTATTCTGCTGTTAATTCACACCAACCCATGAACCAGGTATGTACAATTGACTTGGGGTTAATTAATCCCGTAGAGCATCTCTAAAGGGTTTAGGGCTGGGCACAGCGGCAGCGGGGCTGAAGGGGCTCGGGGAGAGGGGGCTGGCAGAGCACCCTCCGCCCTCCAGCCCAGAGAGGCAAAAAAGGGACAAAAAAGGGGGTTTATGTAAAAAGAGCCACTAGGGCTCACCGTAAAACCTGTTGCTCAAAAGCCGGTTAGTTTCTCAGAACTGTCAAACCTCGAAATGTTTTACAGGCAGATAGTGTTACTATTTTACTGAAAAAAAGCTGAAGGCAGAACCAGCTTTGTG